GAGGGTCTTGTTTTGACGCTGGTGGGCCAGGAATGATGCTCTGGGCAGGAGGTGATGGTTTTAGAAGACTAGGAAACAGCTGAGCTCAGTTGGCACATTGGAAATCCATTATTTTGCTGCCAGTGACCAGTCCAAGCTGCAGGGAGAATAAAATAGAGGTGAGGTGGTAACAGGAGTCTTTGTTCAGAACTATGCCTCTGAAGTGAGCCTGAAGTCAATTTTGAAGGCAACCAGTTGTCCGTTCTTAATTTGCTGTGATTCATACAGCAGAGCAGTCTTATAGTGTATGAACTGGATTTTTCTTGGATAAAACAAAACTGGATGTTGTTAATGTGCTCCAAACACTGATTCAGGCTGTGGAATCAGGCTTTGGTGGAGCTGAACTAAAGCTCCTGAAGCACATTTAGTATGCAGGTGGGATTTTAGCAGAAACAGTGTCCCTTTGCAGATAAGTCCTTTTACACTAATGTAGACATACAGTTTGGGAGAAGGTTTCCCAGCTCTGCTGCTGGCATGCTTGGTCACTTCACCTCTTTCTCACCTAGCCTCCCCATCTGCACAATAAGGCTTTCCAAAAGAGACCGTCCCCAACCAGCTTAGTGGAGCAGTAACATGCTAACAGAGAGACATGGTCCTCTCAGACCACGGGACAGGATCGATGCTTCAGTCTGGAAGGCAGGTGTTTCTGTTGCTCTGGTGAGCTTAAAGATACTTGCTTTTTGCCACGATCCTGGTTTATCTTCCAGCAATGGGACTAAGTGCTTGCTTTGCTAGCACCAAATCCTTCTTTGTCCTCCAAGCCCACTGCTCTTTCTCTGACCCTTTTGAATCCATGCCCATGATTTGGTGGGGTTTATTGTGTCCCTCTCTTCGATAACTGTACGATCCCAACCTCTAAAACCCATCTCCCTCTTAGAAGTGTGATTGAGGCATCTGCCACCAGCTTGCCTGGGAGACTGTGCTCAAGCATCACCCTCCTGTGGACCCCACAGCAGCTGGGGAGACGCAGATAACACTGAAAAGCACCAGTCGAGTGATGGAAGGTATCTTTTACCTTCTTTCATCTACCAGACCCGTGGGCTGCTTGCCAGGATGCCTGTAGGGCTAGCCATGACCAGGGTGGGAGCTCAGGGAAGGCCAGAGCCTGTGTCTTTAAAGATTAATAGTGTTGTTTGCTCATTAAGGAGATCGTTTTGAAGTCAGCGCTAGCCAGAACATTCAAGTGCAAGCATCTGTTTGCTACTGGGAGAGGATATTTATTGTCTGATACTTCAATGGATGTAAATAAACAGCCAGACCTAGATAATGTTCAGACAAACAAACAAACAGCTGCCAGAATAAGTCCCCTGGTAGTTGACCTTCGGGAAGCATCACGCTGATGTTTTAATAGCAGCCAGCTTTGCAGAACGAAGCCCAGTGAGCACAGCCTTCCGGGAAGCAGGATTAATGTGCGGCCAGACCACGTTTCTCCCCAGGAGCCCTGCACACGTGTGTTGGGTTAAAGGAGGGCAGGGGAGCTCAGGGTGCTGAGTGGAGCATCTTGTGGTCCAAGGAGCGTGTGCCTGTCCAGGACAGACGTGTAGGCAGTGGCAGCAGGTATTGCTGTGGTGGAGGTGACGAGCATGTTTGTGGAGGAGCGTGCAAACGTCTGGTAGTGGGGTTTGTAGTGGACTGATATTTTGGGACTTGTGGATGGTCCTGGAGCCCTCTCCGTCTCTTCTTGCTCCCGTTCCTCTTGCCTTGCAGAGGTGCTCGTGGTTTACAGGCAGTTTCAAGGAGAAATCCCCACTGGATTGTCAGTCAGGCCCTAATCCCACAGCCTAATAAGAACATCTTGAATATAAGAATACCCGTACTTCAGTCAGAAGAAAACTCTATCTATCCCAGCACCCCAGCTCCATGTGGAGCCTGTAGCTGATGCCAGCAAAGAGCAGGAACTGAGCAAACTGCTGGTGCGTGCTTCAAATTCCTTGCAATTGGCAACTTAGGGAGCCTTCCCAGCAGAGATCGTATTGGTGTCCGTGACTTTAGTGATGATCGCTTGCAGGCTTTGATGAGAATCTTCTCATTTCCCCTTCACAGACTCTTCTTTTGATTTTTTTGCTAACCCAAATGCCCTGGTTCTTGTGGGTGTCTGGGAGCCAGGAATAAATCTCAAAGAGAAATTGCTGTTGTGGTGTTTGATGCTCAGGACTGAGAGGAATGTGCAGGGAAGGTGGAGATCCTCTGGGCTCTGTGCCTGGGGTTGAAGATAAGAAAGCTAGAGTTTAAGACAGGTAAAGGGATGGCTTGAGTTAAGGGCCAGACTTCTGGCTGCAAGCTACAATAACCACGTCTTTGCTGGAGCAGGGCTTACATGGTCTGTGCAGTGTGGGTGAATGTCTGCCAGACCTTCTGGCCTTCTCAATTTTCTTTTTACTTAGCTTCTACCTTTAATGAGAGAGAGGTTTCTGCAGGAATAGTTGTTGGGCTGGGTGTGCACCCGTGCACGTGTATGTGTTTGCACATGTATGATGGAATGAGCCCTGTTCCTTCCTCCCTCCCTGCGTCCCTCCCCTGCTGCAAAATAATGATTTTGCAGGCAATTAGGCTAGCAATAGCTGTTAAATCACTTCTGAGTATCTCTGTTTTCCTGGTGTGAAACCTCTGCAATCTTTTACCTGCACCAACTGCATAGGGGAGATCCCTGGGGGCTGTGCCTCCTGTCTGCATGGTTTGTTAACTCCAGCCGGCTATTTCTCCAGCCTGCCTCTTCCATCTCTGAGCTCTTTCTCCTCTAATGGAGCCTGGCAAAGGCTGAGGACAGTGACTGAGCCCTGGGGTGATAATTGGCTGCTTACATATCTAGTGGCCTACAGATCTGACCCTGCCTGTGCTGAAAAATCAAGGTCAAAGCAGCAAAGGCATCAGGTTTGTTTAGCACGGTGATCAGCAGAGAGAGCGAGGATCTTCTGCAGCCCTCTGATGAGGACGAGCAGCCACAAGGGACTGGGGGGAAAGGCAGAGCTGGAACAGCAGACGAAGCTCAGTGACCACTCCCTGAGAGTGAGAACTTGGGGCAGGAAGGTCTCTGTGGGAAATAGGAAAGGCTCCTGCTGTGGGGGCACTTGAGCTGCCTTAGGCAGAGCCCCAACAGGGAGAGTCCTGGGATTCTCAACCCACGGCCCTTTCTGTGTCCCCTTCCTTCCTCCTGACTGTCCTAAGGGGAACGACTCATCCCGAGCCTGTTGGCCTCTTTGCCCTTGACCCCATGGGTGAATCACAGCAGTGCCCGCTTTCAAGAAGAGAGACTCTGAGGAGCTGAATTCCCCCGTTGGGGACCACGGACACGAGCAAGCCCTTTCCCCCTAGACAGTCAGAGCCAGTGGGAAGCACGGATGCTCGGGGTTGGGATTCAGGCCCTGACCTCTTTGTGTGTTGACGTTGCAACGTGTATTGCTGTCATCGCCGGATCCGTCAAGACGACAAACTAACTGCAAATCCTCCAGTGCCATTTGACCAGCCCAACAGCCAGTGCCTGCACGTGCACCCGCTTCTGCGGAGGTTGACGGATAGCACGTAGGATCCCCGAGCACCCTCCACACCCTTTGCTGTCACAGGGAGCCCCTCATTTCCCCCATCTTTCCTGGGGGAATAAGATTTCTTTCCTGTCATGCAGCAGGTGGGGAGATTGAGGAAGAACAAAGATACGAATCTGTATATCATTGCTGCCCTTTGCTCATACGAGCTTTCCAGACCCTTTGTGATTCCCTCTCTTCCTTTCTCTTTGCCTTTCTAATATAGAAGATGATTCAGGCTCAGTTTCTTGGCTGAAAGGTTGATACAGAAGGAACAAGCTCATGGACTGTGCCAGGGAACGGTGGAGATGGGTCTTGGTACCATAAGTTCTCTACAGCTTGTTATTTTGGGTGGGAAGGGTGCTTTTGCTCAGCTATCAAACTGCACAAGTGCAAACCAGGGACTGGGAGCCTTTAGTCTGCCTATGGAGATCATGATGTGGAGCACAAAGCAGATCTACTACAACTTTGTTTCTTCTAGGGAAGGGTACTGTGAAGTTTGTGTTGCTGCAGGATGGATTTTCTAAAAGTGAAAGGCAACACACTGAAAACATAGCAAGGGGGATGAGGAATGTGGATGCATCTCTGAAACACATGGCCATGGGGTTTGCTGAAGCACAGAGCCTCACAAGATCCAGAAGGACCCGACACTCCTGTGGATAGCGAGATTATCCTGAATTGTGATTATAGCATTGAAAGGGATTACAAACCTTCTCCAGCTGCTTTTGAGTCCAATCTCTAGAAATTGGTTTTAGACAGGTAAAGAAAACTCTGGTGTTTTGTGCATTTTCTTCTGTATCGCTGGGTCACTGTCAGGGATAGACTAGGACTGTGCGTCTGGTTCCTTCTCATAATTTCAGTTATTGATGTTCCTAAGTGACACCCTGTGATGAGATGTGTCTGGAATCATAAGGTGCCATATTTGTTCAGGACTGATTTCAATATCTGATATACGTAATCAACAAGAGAAATAGTCTGTGTTGTATTGTACACTCCACAATAATATATTGCCCCATGGAATATTAGCAATAAGAACAATAATATTGTCTGACTAGCATTTGAGTGAGTCAGTCCTGCAGACTCTTGTGTGGTTTTTTTATCTTTTGCTCATCATCACCACAAATTCTCCCCTTTGTACCATCATTTTCAGCTCAGTAGATTTGTCCAGGCAATGACAGTAACACAACGATAGTGCCAGAAAAAAGCGAGCAGGCTCTGGATTGTTCTTCTATAGTGCTCTTGTGTTGATGGGACCAGCAGAAGCAGTTGAACCTGCTTCATCCTCTAAGTGAGGAGGCAGGAGAAAAGTTCACTTTGTGATGACAGTGGTTGTTGTCCAAAAGACCTGGACCACAATACATTTCTCCAATGATTGTTCTATAGTCTCTGTGGAAGAAGGAAAAATACTCATGTTGTCTCCCCGCTTTTGTTTTTGCTCTGCAGATCCGTGTGGACGGCACCACCAAGAACACACTGGAGTATGAGATTGTGCAGGTGGTGGATACTGGCCCCATATTACGGGATATGGCCTTCTCAGTGGATCATGAACACCTCTACATCATGTCTGAAAAGCAGGTAAGAAACTGTCAGTCCACAGTACTTTGAAAGGTTTTAACTTGATCATGCTAAATCAGAATTGCACGTGAAGTTCTGATGGTGAACACCATTACTACAAAGATGTGCTCCATTGTTGATAACACTATTTTTCATGCTTAGAAACCATTGCATTTATACACTGATGCAATTTTTGAGGGGCCAAGGGCAGTGAACTAAGGGGGCGGAAACCACCCCCAGCATTGCTTTATGCAGTACACGTCCTGCTGGCTACCTGACAAGGAGTTGCTACTGCATCTGCTGCATACCACATTGCTCTCCACCCCCATTCAAACTGTGGCTACATCTGCCACAGATACGGATAAGCGTAACACTGAATCATTTGGCTCCAACTGGAGTATTTGGAGAAGCTGGAGCCTCTCTGAGACACAGCGATCAAGAGTGTAGGATGCTGCCTGCCAGGGTGCAGGCGAAGTTCAGCGTGACGTTCCTGTTGTGTTATTGGTAGTATTATTGAAAATACTAACAGCCAGATTCCAGGGAAGCACCAATCTGGGTGTTCGACATGGAAATCTGGCTGATTTCAGCAGAGTGCTTGGCCTTGGGACGTTTGCTGTTTGGGGTGGGAGGAGGAAGAAGTAGTTTTGCATGAAGAAATCTGTTGTACATAATTAGTCTTGTGGCCATGCAGGATTCCTTGAGTTATTGTAACTGGTTGATTCATGCATGGTGTACTCCGACCTGCAGTTGTCAACAGTCAGCAGTCTCGAGGATGGAGATGGGCCACAATGTCCCCTCCTCTCATCAGCCCTCATGGCAGTTTCACCAGCCACAGATTCCTGCCTTAAAAATGCAACAGTGAATAATCGTTTCCTCTTCACCTCCCATGATTTTATAGACCCTCCTCATATCCTCTTCAGGTGGCTGTTTTCCAGGCTGTGGCTAACACTGTAATTATTAGCCTTTACCTAAGCTAAGAGGGGTTTTCTCCTTGCCCATAAGGCAGGGATACATGCAGTTTTTGGAGGGAGGTGTTCAGCAGGGTTGCTGTGGTCCAGGAGCTCAGATGTGGCAGGCTGGCTATCCTTCTTCCCATACAAAATAGGGACGTTATCGTTTCCAGTCCATGACTGTCATTCCTTCTGCTTGAACCAATTTATTTTAAAAGTTTTGTGCCTTTGCGATATCTCCGACCCTCTCCCTAGGCTATGGATATTTATATCTAAAATCAAAGAGTGGAGAGGGGAGCAACTCTGTACATGTCTTTATTAAAGGTGATGATAACTCAGGAGAAAGGACGTGATGACAGAGCTGGGATTGCTTTTTTATCTGCTCAGTGCTGGGCAAGGGTGGGATGTCACCTCCAGTGCTGAAGTGAAAACAGTCCCAGTCACCTGTTGGGATGGAGTGGGAAGCTGGAGGCAGGTGATGCTTGCGAGGTCCTGCGAGACTTTGGTCAAGACTCTGTTCCTTTTTCTTATCCTTTTACTCTGTGGGTCCTTTCTTTTTTCTTTGAGTAGAATGGGGCTCCTTGCACAGTTAAAGCCTGTGAGCATGACGATGCGCCAATATCCACTGATTTCAGATTTGCTCAGAATATCTTTTTTGTGCAGGCCCATTTAGCAACAGGTCACCTCAGATACCACCACCAGCTTTGTACAGCCCTTCAGATTTACAGAGACAAGATGTTCGGCTCCCTTGGGCTGGTTGGTCTTGTAATATCCAGGAGCTGTCTTGATTCTCTCTAGGAAAGGGCAATGGGATAGCACTGTTCATTCACTCACTTCTTTAAAAAATGAAATCTGGAATGAAAGGAGCAATTTGTTTTTCTGCCAGAAGCTTCCAAGAATATATTCTTGTTGGTATGTTGACTACCTGCACTTCCCTAAACGTTACAACATAAGCAGATTGATTTTGTGGTTGGCTATTCTGAAGCACAAGCTTAGGCAGGTTTTTTTTAGGATTTTTTAGGACCACAAGTTGTTGATGGAGCTTTGTGGAGAACTCAGAAGCCCTGAGTCCCCTGTGATTTATTCAATCATCTTTTCCCACCCATCTTTGAAGCCAAGGGTGTCTGTATGAGAGAGGTTAGTGAAAAGGGCATGGACTGTTATTATTTAAAATCTGATCTGATTTCGTGAAACACTCAACGCTACAGAAGCCTTTCCCTGTCTCTCATTTTATCTGCGACGTAGCAAGAATGTGAATGACAGCGCTGCCGTCACAGCAATACAGCCGCTATCTCTGTGTTCATGATATAACACGCTTCAAGTGCTCGCATGAATTAACATTTGTAGGGCTTCGGTGGCTGAGAGTGGGTGCAGGGGTTTGCCTTTGCTGGAGGCAGGACTATGAACGGCGTGGAAGAGTGCAGGCTGGCCCTGGGGACCATATATCCCATCCACTATACAAGCCATGTCGTACAGTTCTTTTCATAAACGGATGAAGATCTGACTTATCAGAGGTTTTCACTGCCCACAGAAATGTCCTGGTATTGTGAGGACTGTGGAGATGAGGGACAGGAGGGTGATGGCTTGACCCGACCTTTTCAAAGGCAGTCAGGCACCAGGGCTGGTCGTGTCCCTGGGGAAGGAGGAGGTTTCTCTGCCCTCCGTCTGCTGGCCTCAACCCTGGCAGTGCCCTGGAGATAAGAGCGATCCTGTTGCATGTGTAGACGCTCCGTTAAAAGCAGTTTTGCCAGGTTTGGCTCCGCCGCTCATCAGTCTTCAACAGGAATGGAAGCCCCAAAGATAAAGTCAAATATTCCAGCTTGTCCCAGTCCTGTCGTGGCTCTGGCAGTCCTGGCAAGTATTACCTTGCCATGCCCCAAACTGTTCTTCAATGAGGCATTTAGAGTCAGCTCAGCAAGGCACCCTTTAGCTTGAAACACCTTCAAAGAGCTGTCACTATAAATCTGGCTACAAGAAAACACTTTCTCGTACTGCCAAAAAAAATACATCCCCTGGCCTTGATAAAGTCAACATCTGCATGGGAGCACTTTCCACAGTGAATTGGGGGGTCCTTGGGTTGCACATGGCGGGGGTTTATCTGGAGCTGAACTCCCTGGGCTTCAAGGGGAATGGAGAACCCAGCTCAGCCCTGCGGTCTGTGGCTGAAAGAGGTCCTCCCTTGCAGCTCCTCTGAACGCCGAGAGGTGACAAGCAGCACTCGTCAGGGCTATCAGATGTGCTGTGCTCTCAGGAGTAGGATGCAATGGCTTTTCACCATCAGAGGGGCTCCATTTATAGGGAGATGGATTGAACGAGGTAGACAGGAAGATTTGTCACCGAAACCCAGAGTATACAAAGGTCCCATCGTTTCATGGAGGCGCGGGCGTATGCGTGTTACAAGTGCAAACGTGTGTTCCAAGTCCCTGTTGACAGAGTGGAGAAGGGTTGGTGCATGCATGGGATCTGTCACGATTTGTCAAGAGATCTGCCATTTAGCCCCAGCCTTCACAAAGGCTCCAAGGGAGTTACAAGCCAGACAGTGTTTCCCACTGAACGGGGGTCTCGCGTGGTGGAAGCAGGGAGAAGGCTGCTCCGAGGTGTCATTTCCTCACTTATCTGTCTGAATGGCAGATTTGGCAATTGTCTGAATTGGACCTTTATTGAGATGTTCCTTGGGGGTCATGGGGATATCGGTACCTTGGAGGCTTGGGCTGTTTCTTTTTCCTTCTTTGTTTCTGGTGCGCAGACACGGGAAAGTCTTCTGCCTCACACGCTGATCTAAGGGAATGAGGAGCAGATGGGAAACGCTGCTAGAGGAGCAGGGGAAGGAGGTCTGCAGTGTCTCTGCACCTCCTCTGCTCCTCATCACGCACATACATGCCTCCTCAGGTCCCTCTTCCTCCTCTAACCCTCCCTCTGAATCTCTTTCTCCTCCCAAATGAGAAGCCTGAGCCGACAAGCTCCCTGGAGCTCTCTGCAGGGTTTAAGATGCTTCTTTCACCCCTTCCTCACTATTCCTGCTTCTCTCTCTGATCCCATCCCTCTTTGTGGCCCTGTTCTCCAATTTATGGACTTGCCCTTGCTTTTCTGTCACTCCTCCACTTCTGGCAACCCTATTCCTTTGCTATCTCCTCTTCCAGCTGCCACCAGCCTGCTGGCTGCCCATGCCTCCTTGCCTCTTTGATGCTTAACTGTTGACACGCACATGCAGCCCAGCTCTACGTATCAGGAGGTGCAGGATGCTCATTTTCCTGTTGTGGCTTTGGACTAGTATTTGGAAGATCACCTCCATCACCCCTAAATACCTCTGTGTCAGCATGTTGGACTCCCGGGTCTCTCCCAGTGCTAGATGTGTTTTGCAAAGCTGACGCAGCACCTGGAAGCAACTCCAAGACACGAGAATCTCAGCTCTTCCCTTTGATATAGAGGGATCAAAGGAAAGAGCTAGAGAAAACGAACTTAAAGTCTCAAAAACCAGAAGGCAAACAGCAAGCGGCCCCAACTTTGTATTATTAAAATCCCAAGGCTTTGAGCTGCCTCCTACTTTTGGTTTACTAATGGCTAGGGAAGACTCTGTTCTGCAAACAGTTTATGAGTAACCCTACATTTGACTCAAGGAGGGAGATTTGCTGTCCCTCTCCGTGCAGGCAGTTTTGTTTCATGCAGGTGAGTCAGCTTCACGCTCCAGGGGAAAGTTGTGCTTCTTCCCTGTAAACTAGCAGAAAGTCATCCATGATCTGGGAATAAATCACATCTGTGAAGTGCTATCATTCCCTAAAACCATTACGGTATGTCAAAGGGTCATGTGTAGCAGAAGCAGATAGGTATTTGGGGGGATCTTTTAAACTTTGCCAATGAAATATCAAATAAATATGTACTTCAACTAAAGCATGGCAGAAACCACATTTGGTAAAAATTAAGTAACAGTATTGCAAATCATGTTGACAGGGTCTTTTTGGCCTTTCTGTGTCTGTTTCTCATTAAAATGGGGAAGGCTTATACCTATTTGTCTCCTGAGATTTATTCTTCTTCCCTTTGCCGCTGAGTCACTATCTGCAAGAGAATTATTGT